TGACCTTAAAGGGGATCTGTTATGTTCATTTTCAGGTTTATACTTGTATTTGGGGTTTCTACTAAAACACGTTTACATGCTTAAATGTTCAAAAAACACCTCATACTGTCTGTGCTGAAACACCTGTATTCACCCCCTTAACATGTTCCAGCAGGAATATGATCAAAAATCAGGCAGAAATTAACAACATTGGCAACCAAGATTACGTGTTTTCCTGATGTTAGCATGTAGCTACATGTAGCAGCGTACTTGTGTATAGCTGCACTTTTTACCGTGAAAAATGAACAATAAAAGCTTCTAAACTAAAATCGTCACAACTTCTTTATGCATTTACCTCATCATTTGAAACAGTGGTCATAATTAATATAAACATCTGACGTTGTAACATTTGATAAATGACAGAAAATAAGTGATTTAACTTGGTCTATAAATTGCTTATAATTCCCAGGGAGTTGCCATAGATTGTGAGAAGTAATGACGGTGTCCAAAAATCAAATCAGATCTGGAAAACTTACCCAAACATGTCTCTATAACAAATGTTGATTTTGAAAACCTTGTTTAAGGTGTCATATTGAGATATATTGCAGCTAGATTTTTACCATGTGCTTTATTTTTATGTGAAGAGGACAGAGGTCTGAAGACTGCTGAGTGGTGCAGGAGAACATTTGGGTGTTGCAAACAAACAAAGTCATTGGAAACATCAATAAAAGAAGTCGGTGTCAGTAGAAAGTGTCCAGCCCTGTGTGCATGATAGAGCAGCTTTTTCTAACTTGCCAGTGAGTTGAAAGGCTGAATCATCGTTAGCGGACTGACAATCCTGTTTGATAGTGCGCTGGGTCCTGAGAGCATTGAGGGCTTCGTTGAGCTAAGCTTTCGCCAGATGGTGATTTCTCTCTTCCCATTCCGGTGAATCTGCTCTCTCGAGTTCCTCTCTTTATTAAACCATAGTGTAGTACTATGATCTTCTTTGGAAAGCAAGCCGCCTCACAGAGAGGGATTCAGGAGTAGACTGTGTAGGTGTCAAAACTATTGCTCATATATTTAAAAGCCTCCCTGTCTGTAGTGCTGAGCCTCTGGGATCCACCTCCAGACTGCTTTTAGTTGTCACGTACTGCTGGCACAATACATGGTCTGAAAAGCCAAGAATGGCCTGTAAAAATGAGTGGAGTACACCTTAAATTGTGAATTAATAGTTCTTTCCTCCTCAGACGCCTACTAGTGAGCTCTCAGTTTGTTTTGCAATGCATTTGCATTGTATTCAAATTAAAGAAGTTACATTTGCGACAGTTATTCTCAAACTCTTTATAGTTCTTTGCCCCTATAGTCATCTCACACCTCTTCGTGACAATGATAAAAAAAAGACAAAAAACACAAACGGACTCATCTTGCATATCATGTTGAAATCTACAAAGTAAACAGACTGCTGAGTGTGGGACTGCAGTGCCTGCTCAGGTCTGAGGCTGCTGCTGACCGTCTCTGGTGGGACTGTAAGTTGCTGACCTACATCTGCTGACATTTCCAAATCCCAGGCCCTTGCTGTGAGCCGTCCCAACTTGTGCCTACTCAATGATGATTCTCTCCTGACTTGTTAACTGTCACATATAAAGTCAATTTTATTCTTTTTTTTTCTTTTTTTTTTTTTTTTACTCTCTGCCAAGGGGTAAAGAATTCATTTCTGTCCATTACTCCGAGCTGGTGCTGCTGCTGCTGCCAGGGTTTCACTGCTTCACTGTGCTACCAGGGGTATTGTCTTTTAAGAACAATAACTGTGTCTTGACAGGATATGTCTTCCTGTTTATGATCACAAAGGACACAGGGCCTCGCTACCGCTTTAGATTTCAGGCAGTACATTTTAGTTTCTCCTTATTTTAGTTTGTTCCATTTTTCACTGCATACTATAAGGTGCAACTTTGGAATACTTTTAAAACATTTCTTTTATTTGGTGATGTATTTGTGGTATCATGGTTTTGGTTGTAGAAAGCCCTGGTTAGAATGTGTTTGAAGTTTCTCTAGTTTACTGTCATTAGACAGTTTTTTTTTTCCTTATTTCTGTCATATATATAAATTCCAATGTCAGATATTCATATTACACATGGCCAAAGTTTCCAATAACAAGGTAAACATATGTAAAATGAATCCCTGTGAACCTCAGGCCTTAGACCGTTCTGAAAACTGTACAAGATTTCTATATACGGTCATTTGCTCCAGGCATCCTACTGCAAGGATTTACGTACACTGCTAACATCATGAAAACATGTAATCTTGGTTGCATATATTGTAAATTTCTCCCCAGTTTCAGTTCATATTCTTGCTGGAACATGTCCAGTTGTGTTTAGAAGCTTTATTGGTTATTTTGTCGAGAAGAGGTGCCACTATACACAGTCATTCCCTGGCTGCAAGTACACAGCTATATGTAGCTGCATGCTAACATCATGAAAATATGTAATCTCGGTTGCTGATTATAATGTCTCCCTGATTTCAGATTCTTTTCCTTCTGGAACATGTCCTGTTGTACTTAGAAGCTTTTATTGGTGATTGTTAATGGGTGAAAGTGCCGCGATATACAGTCATTTCCCAGCTGCAAGTACACTGCTACATGTAGCTACATGCTAATGTCAGGGAAACAGTTGATTTTGGTTGCAGATGTTGTAAACCTTTTCTTGATCTTGGATCCTATTCTTTTGTGGAACATTTCCTGTTGTGTTTAGAAGCTTTATTGGTTACTTTGTCAAGACAAGGTACGGCTATACACACTCTTTTCCTGGCTGCAAGTACACAGCTACATGTAGCTGCATGCTAACCTCAGGAAAACATGTAATCTTAGTTGTAGATGTTGTAAATTTCTTCCTAATTTCAGTTTATATTATTTCACGTTTTCAGTTGTGTTAAAGAGCTTAAGGTGATTTTTTTAATGGGTGAAAGTCCTGCGATATACAGTCATTTCCTGGCTGCAAGTACACTGCTACATGTAGCTACATGTTAAGGTCAGGGAAGCGAATAATCTTGGTTGTCGATGTTGCAAACCTTTTCTTGATTTTAGAATCCTATTCTTTCTGGAATATGTCCTGTTGTGCTTAGAAGCTTTATTGGTGATTTTTTTGAGAGAAGGTGCCACCATACACAGTCTTTCCCTGGCTACAAGTACACAGATACTTGCAACGTCATGCTAACCTCAGGGAAACATGTAATCTTCGTTGCAGATGTCGTAAATTTCTCCCCACTTTTGGTTTGTATTTCTGCTTGAACATGTCTGGTTGTGTTTTAACATTAAAGCATGTAGACATGTTCTAGTAGAAACCATGCAGGCATTTAGATTTATTACCAAAGTAAGAACAATTTTGGTTATTTCACAATAGAGATGTCTGGGTTGTTTTTTTTTTTGTTTTGTTTTCTTTGTATAGTAGTTAGTAACTTAAGCAGTTATTATTAGGTCATTGTGGAAAAGACAATGTTTTTTTTCAACTATTGCTTAGAAAATCACGATTGCCAAGTGACCTTTCCTATCAGTATAATTAGGCGTGATGTTATCTCCTCACAGTGTGTCAGTAGTAGCCGTGCTGTACACTCAGAGCGGAGCAGCACTGTGAGGCAGCAGGGAGGTGCAGTACAGTAGAGCAGAACACAATGCAGTTTGGGCAGCTTAATGCTTGTGCAGCAGAATGCAGCTCAGTGTCATTGTGAATAATAAATATATACCTGTCACACATTTTGTTTATGTATTATTTTCTTTACCCTTCTGGTGCCTCCTGCTACCACGAACCCAGAGGCCCCGCATGCGTTAATCTGCCCCAATCAGCTTTAGCAGCACATATTTTGTTTTCCAATTACCTGCCGACAGCACTCTGTTCACCCCACCATGACCAATTTACAAACTCTGTGTTCAAGCAATATATTTACAATGCACACTGCTTATTATCTGCTGTATTACTAATTCCAGGTACAGTAGATTTTTGTGTACATGTGCTCACTGCATCAATGTAAAACCACAGACTGTTGCAGCATGGGTGGCTATGACTTAAACATGATTGATAAAGTATCTAAAATGTGCTTTAAAGGGTAAAACTTAATATTACTCTCATCATGCTCGGCGTTTGAAGCCACCAGCACGCTTGCAAGGGGACGAGCCGGTGGCTTCTGACACCAAGATGATGAGCTGGAAATTAATTTTTCCATTTCATTTACACAGGAGGGCGGTAAGAGAATGAAAGCTAGCATGATGAACACATAACAGCTGGTATGAACAGCAGAAATGTAATTACTAAAATGTGCTGCACCGGTAAATATCTCAGTTAAATGCCAAAGACCCCTCCATGTGTAATTTGTAGCCAAAGCTGTTTTTTCCTGGGCTACTGGATTTATTGATATTAATAAACTGCTATGCATACATATTTTCCAAAGCTACCTGGCAGAAATGCATACCTTGGTACTAGCAATAAATAATGTGCATTGACAAAATCGCAGATGCCGAGCAGTTAGTGATCCATATAAAAGGAAATACCTCTCCAGACTACTCATGGAAACATAAAGAATAAATCATATTTAAGAGTCTCTGGAAAAGGAGGAAAAATACTGTGGAAAATTCCCTAGAAATTACACCATCCCTTTTGATATACAGTAAGAAAGCAATGGTTTGCCACATGTACATAGGCAGAGTCTCCATGAATGCGTTCACAGTTAAATACATTCAAACCCCCGGATACATGCTGTATTGGCAAAATGTCTCCTCAGTAATGTAAGTTTAAAAGCTAGCCGTGAATTATTGAACTGCTGCAGCGCTTTTAACAAACAGCCACAAAATAATTACTCTGAAAGTTCAACTTGAGCAATTGGTGAAATTTCTGGTGCTTCTTCATATTGTGCAACATTAATCTGTGACACATCATGACCCCCCTCTTAACCCTTTTCCTCATTTGTGGGAATCATTACATACAGTTGTCCGTGTCCTGGTGTATCCATGTCGTAATGAAAATCTCTGTTCTGTTTCCTTCTAATTCTCATAGAATAACCACCACTGCTGCTTGCATGATGGACTTGAGGAGGTACCCTCTCGATGAACAGAACTGCACCCTGGAAATTGAAAGCTGTGAGTATGATTTGACACTGTCCCTCACAACACAGACCTCGACACTGAACTTACAGCAACCTGCAAAAGCAATAATTGTGATTGCCAGGAAGCTGTTTGTACTGGGCAGTCATTATGTTAAAATTATCTGCATTACCTCTACAAATGACATCATAGGGCGGGTCTATCTGCGTTCTTTTCCGCATTTTTCAAACAGATACTTTGACTCAGCCATTAGCAAAAATACTGAGGTGGGTAACAGCACCTCTCAACCCCCCACATGTATGTTAGCTCAGAAGATTTGAGCTCGGAAGTAGAAGAATTGTTGAATATTAAACCTTTATTTAACCAGGTGAAGACACTTTGAGATTAAATATAATATGATGTAATATTTTTATTTATACACATTTATAGATCAGTTGTCAATGTATGACTTTGGGGCCATACACATGCCATGTTTTTAAATGCCTGGAAAACACAAGGTCAGACGATGGGCACTACTCTTGTGCTTTCTCTGTGCCAACTTTCAAGGGCCCGGAGGCAGGTTACGTCTGAGGTTGCTAAACAACCATAACAAGCATCGTATCATAGCCTACTCACCAGAAATCCGGAGTGCAGAGTGGATCTTCTTTCAGGTGTTGTCTTGGATGTGTAATGTCTGTGGGACAGATGTAAAGCTCTGAGTAGCCCTGCACTAAAATGACTGACTCCTCCTTCATGTTTACTACTGACTGATATTTAAGGAAGAAGGGGAAGATATCTGTCAGCTGTGATTAGTTGTTCCTTGTCACATGACATGCATTGCACACTGCTGCGTTCCAAAAGTTGAACTCTGTTTATCTCAGGGCACAGCCATTACATTGAAAATAATGAATTTGAGGGCGCAAAAAACGCAGCGGGCGTACAGCCCCCGACAGTAGTCCTCGTCCCAGTTTGGAGAAGCAGACAGAAGTACCGGCACAGAAGCTAAGCAATGTAGTGCCGTGGATGCCATGTTAGTTCGCTTCCAAAAAGTCACACAATAACACAAACCAACCAACTGAGGCAGCAGGTAGATGAGTAACTCGTTGTGTTCTGCAAAGTAAAGTTACTGTTACTGTCAATGGAATGGAATGACTGTGGACCGACTGTTCTCATGCACTGTTTGTATGCTTTTCTATGAAAAGTGATGCACCAAAATTCGTACCAGTCCCACGTAATGATGAGTCAGGAACTCGTGCATAACCTGCGTAATATGGAAGGCTGTGATAAAGTGACCAATGTGCTGATGGGGGTCAAGAATAAAGTGGGAAGCGGTCTCGTAAGGGGGCAGGGTGAGGTGGTGGATGAGTCACAAAACACAGGGCTTTGTCCCAGAGGACTAGTGTTTGGAACCAGATTTTGATTAAACTCTGAGTCATTTTAAGGCACGTTGTCACCATGTTTCTTATCCTAAACCTAACCACAGTAACTTTTCATGTCCTAAATCTCACCTCCATAACATTCATTAAGTACTTAATGTTATTCGTAGGGCACTAATTCATATGAACCATCAAGGATATGTTGCTGTGGACAGGGGCAGCAGAAAAACATAATTTAGCCAGCTAAATAAAGGACCACCTAAAGAAGACAATACCAGTTTAAGGGTACGCTATATTTAGATTACTTTTACAGCTTTACCTTGCAATCAGACAGCTCTGTCAGAGGGGGAGCTGAAGCCATGATATCGCACTTATCAAATTTACCAGACTCCATTGGCAGAATAATAATTTTACCTAACAGCGTTGCTGGTCTATCTGCTGCCTTTATCGCTTATTTTTTGTTATTGTGTGACTTTCAGAACATTCATAAACAGGTTTATAAGGAGCAACATGCAGAAATCTATCATCATCAGGTCACGTGGGAAAATGTTTTGAGTTTAGGAACACTACTGGGAAGCTACCGAATGTCATACCCCACAAAAAAAGTAGACCCGCCCTTTAATTAAGTCATTTTATTTTGGTATACAGTTATACTTGAGATCATTTAGAGGAGTCATGAGTGAAATATCTGGCATCTTTGCCAATGTGTGCCATTTGTCAGAGGCTTGACCTCTGCAGTTGATGACTGCCTTGAGAAATAGTGAAGAAATCACAGTGCTTGCTGATGTGCATTGATTCCCTCAGTGTGACAGATGGACAGGGCCACCACTGGATCTTTGAGTGGCGAAGGCAAAATGATGACATTAATATTAGCGACCTTACATATCCCTCAGTGTGGCTCTTTAACCCCTTAATTACATTAATGTCATGCAGTGTCTGAGTAAACATCCACCACAACCACAGTAATCACTTTAATGAATAATTTGAACATGAGACAGGTAAGAGACACACGTGTAAGAAACAAGGAAGTTATAATTAGTTATTGGTTAAGTGTCATTTGGCACCTGATTAATCAGGAATGATTTATTAAGGACTTGATCAGTGTGTAGAGATCAGATGTTTGGCTCAATGAGAGAGTATCATACAATTTCATCTCAAGTTATTTATTAGCACATTAATTTATGATTATCTGCCATTTTCATTGAGTTAGAGGAGAACTACAAACAAGACATAGTGTGGATTAAGCTAACAAGATAGAAGTGTTAATTAGTGAACTTTAGACCGGTGAGTGGATGTAGCTGCTTTTGGAAAGAGCCAGGTTAGCTGTTTCCCCCTGTTACCACTCTTTATGCTAAGCTAACTGTCTCCTGGTTTCATATCATCTTCTCATCTAACTCTCAGCAAAAAAGCAAATTCTCAAAGTAATTATTTAGGAAGTACTGGTTAACTCTTCTGTTCCTGATTTGTTCTCCAGCCCCAGAGCCAGGGGAGCAGGCCAGTTTCAGCAGGCTCATTGAATCCACAAGAGTCTTGGTTTTCCAGCCATACCCAATCTATGCAATTACAAGACTGTTTAGGGGCCCCAGTATGCAGAAACATTCAAATGCACCATTTTGAAAAATGGCAATTCCGCTTTTTACCTCACCAAAATTGAACTTAAATTTGGAGCTTTTTTTTTAGCTTCTTCCAAAGAGGATATCATAACATGGTTGGTACCAATAGACGCCTTAGTAGACTAGACGTCTAGTTTCATATGATACCATTATCTTTGCCACAGTTACCTTTCACTTTTTTGGGCCACAAATTTGGCCATTGCCTCATCGCTCCTTTCATTATCTCTTTGTGTTCTTGCTTTTCTTTTTTTGAGACCCTGATTTTGGTGATGGATTTTGACTGAGCTAATGAGGCTGCATGTTTTCCTTTTTATTTTAACATTAGGGGCACGAGTGCTGTTTTAATGATAACAATAAATGTAAAGACGTATAACTTCTACTGTCAGTGATGTAAGTCACTCAGTAAATTGATGTATTTGATCCCATTTAAAGGGTAACTTTGGTATTTTTCAACCTGGACCCTGTTTTCCCTTGTTTTTTTGTCTAGGTGACTAATTGGGACAATTTCTGAAAGTGGTCTGGTACTGGGCCAAAACAGGCTACAATGTAATCCCATTGGGCAATTGAGCACCATCAGTTTACATCCACAAAAAGCGCTTGTTTTTGCCACTGACAGGCTCAGGTTATTATTTTAAGTGTCTGACGATACTATGGAGAGTATCCTTACAGGACCGACCTTATTGTTAAAGAGTAAGATCCTCTTTGTTTATCCAGTAACAGCCCAGAAATCACTATAATCAAACCCACCAGGCTCTACTTTAATAAACAGCAATTTATCACTGCGAAACAACGCTTCTTCATTCAAAGACAGAAACAAAATAAACTCACAAAACTTTCTTGGTCTGTGTTCCTACTGTTCCAACAATCACCGACACTGAGATGTAAAGAAAAACTGCTGGCGGTATACACACTTAAATCACTCTTTATTTAAATAGTAGTATGGTGGAAATGGCAATGGCAATTTCAGGCCTTTTTCTGGTTAAACAAAAAGGATCTTACTCTTTAACAAAAAGGTCTATCTCTGTAGGGATGCTGTCTATGATTTGTCAGACACTGAATAACCATATGAGCCTGTCAGTGGCAAAAACAAGCACTTTAAGTGGATGTAAATTGACAGTGCTCAATTGCCGCCAGGTATTAGATTGCAGCCTGTTTCACTAGCAGTGGTCTTGCTCAATACTTGACCAATTTCACAAACTGTGGTTTCCATTAATCACTTAGACACAAAAACACAGGAAAATAGGGTCCGTGTTGGAAAATCCAGAAGTTATCTTTTAAGGGTCAACCACAGACCTTTCCGTAGGCCCCCCTGGGCCTTGAGCCGCGGTCATCTGTACCTATGACTGCCCCTGACAGCAGGACTGCACAGGAATTATGATCCAACTCTTTTCACAGGTTAAGCAGTCTATGACTAGTAAATTCAATTCAATTCAATTTAATTAAATTCAGTTCAAATCATCCATTCATCCATTTTCATAACCGCTTATCCTCTTGAGGGTCGCAGGGGCGCTGGAGCCTATCCCAGCTAACATTGGGCGAGAGGCAGGGTACACCCTGGACAGGTCGCCAGACTATCACGGGGCTGACACATAGAGACAAACAACCATTCACACTCACACCAATTTAGAGTCACCAATTAACCTGCATGTCTTTGGACTGTGGGAGGAAGCCAGAGTACCTGGAGAAAACCGGGATCGAACCAGGAACAACAGCGACAGTGCTAACCACCACACCACCGTGCCGCCCTTAATTCAATTCAATTCAGTTTTATTTACAATGCCCAATATCACAGATCACAATTTGCCTTCGGGGGCTTTACAGCATATGACATCCCTTTGTCCTTGGACCCTCACAGTGGATAAAGAAAAACTTTAACTTCAGACCCTTTAATGGGGGAAAAAATGCTAAAAACCTCAGAAAGAGCAACTGAGGAGGGATCCCAGATGTGCAATTAGTGTCGCATGTACAGAACAGATCAACATAATAGATGTACAGCAATCCATATGACACATAAAGTGGCCTAGATTTGTATACAATAACCCTTAAATATCATAATGGGATTTTAAAAAAAGTGGAACATGCTTGTGAACTGGCAGCTTGGCTCTTAAAAGGAATTTGGTTGTATGCATGTTCATCTGCGAAGACATCAGATACATATCAGGGAAAACTGGATAAAAATGAAATGATATCACCCAATATCGTTGAATTGAAGTTTCATGTCTTTTCTTCTTTTTCAAATTCTTTAATTTAGATAAGTCAATATCCAGGAGCAAAATGTGCTCGTGCTGTAATTAAAAATTGTACTTGCTTGATCATTTTCATCGACCACTCCATCAATCACTCGCTCAATACAGCAGATACTTGCGGTCCTTGTTGTCCAAGATAAAAGTGCAGAGTGTTTACCCTCAGGGATATCAATACGAAATGAAATATGAATATGCCACGAATTAAAAAGTTGTGAGAATACCTGCTGTTTATGTTCATTGAAGAACTCTGCACTGGTGGGAGTTGTGCACATTAACCATCAGTTTGATTGATAAGGCAGGCAGTTGTTTCAATTTCATGGACAATGTCACATTTCCTTACCCTATAACCTCAGAGGGAGATTTAATGGTAATGAATCCTGGTCCCTTAGTGAGTTTAATGCCATCCAGGTCTGGACGTGGGGTAGTAGAATGTGAAATGTAGTAACACTTCCCGGACTGAGAAATGGCTCCGCAGTGAATGCATACTGGCCTATTGACATAAATCTACTGCTGTGGTCACTTTCAATTGCACTGCCAGTTTAGAATGTGTGGGAGCGCCATACCAAGTGACACACGTTAATAAATATTCATGCAGCAGGTAATGCATGCAGTGATATTGCTTCATAGGAGCCTGGACAGTGGAGCATGTGATTGCAGGTTGAGAGAATGGACAGATTAAAGTCTTAGGTAGAAAAGTTTTCCGCTGAAGGAGTGTTTTTGTTTGTTTGTTTGTTTGTTTTAGTGCTGTCTTAGGTTCTGCATAGTTCTACTGGAGAACACATTTTTCCCTAAACCCCCAACTCCTCCCACCAACAGACTACAATAATGTAATGCATCTTTAGAATTCCTTTGATAAAGCTGTGATGAAATATGTAGTACTTAACCTGCTTGGCCCATTTTAGCACTTAGTTTGAGTGTTCTTAGTGGCTTTTTTTAGACCTTCTTGAAGTGGTGGTCTCGGTCTGGTTACAAACGAACTCTGGTGCGGTTCGTTTGTGGTGAGAATGTGTTCCGACGTCGAACTGAACCAACTGCAGTCACATGACACATTGTTTGGGTTAAACATGAGCATGTTACAGTCCTGGAGGATTATTAATGTGCACCTCCTCCTGTACTGCCTTAATATGCACATTCAGCACATCCAATGCATCAAAACATTGTTTTCTAGTTGGAGCCGCGCCTCGTTTTCAAACTGTATGGTTTGACTAAAATGAACAATGACAGCAATATAGTCCACNACAGTCCTGGAGGATTATTAATGTGCACCTCCTCCTGTACTGCCTTAATATGCACATTCAGCACATCCAATGCATCAAAACATTGTTTTCTAGTTGGAGCCGCGCCTCGTTTTCAAACTGTATGGTTTGACTAAAATGAACAGCAATATAGTCCACAATGAGCAGCGCTAAAATCAACCTGCGTAGTTGTCCCTCCATTGTGACATTAGAAAGTGTCACATTTATCTTGCAAGTGTACTCTTCTTCAACGTTTTGTTTACTTCCTGGATTTTTCCCGCATGGAAATTCCGACCAATCAAGAGCAGCTTTCTCGCGCAAGGCATTTTATCTGGTCCGCTTGTTAATGCTGCCGTGAGAACACGAACCAACTCCAGGCAACTCTATTCCCTGATTTAATCAAAGCAAGCGTACTTTCAGTCTGAAATCACCCTAAAATATTGACACAGGTAGGTTTACACTGGAATTAGTTGAAAGCCTGGTGCGTCCACAGTCCGAGGGGCGTGACAAAGCATAGGTATTGGACAACAGGCTGTAAATTGAGGTTGATACTAAAAATATTGGCTATAATGAATCAACAGAGACAAATTTAATCACAATGACAGTTGTGGACATTTACAAATCTCACTGTGATTACAGGGTGCTGTGCAGCTCAAAATACTGTTAGATAGATAGTTTTATTTAAAAATATTTCATATTTATGTTACATGTCTTTCTTTATTAATAGACTGTTACACCTTGCTCTTATCTAAACAAAGAAATGAGTGAGAAAAAAATGTCTTTTATTGCATTTTACCAGAGAAAAAAAAAATCCTTTTTTTTTTTTTTTTTGTTGGGGAGTTAAGATGGATTAAGATTAAGATGATCACTTGCCATTTTAGGATGTAGTCACAGATTCTTGCAATGCAGTGGCCTCCAAATGTTCACATACAAGGAACTAAGACAAAGCATCTTGTGAGGTTGCCTAGCTTTAAGTGACTGTAATGAAACATAAAGTAATACGTGTTTGATTTGTCAGAGCGACCTCCACTCATTATCCATACTCTTGTAACAGACTATAAATAGAAATGGTTCTGTTTAATGGTTATTTCTTCACCACACTCACACTCTACATGCTTTATTTCCCTCTCTCTCTCCTCTCCCCCTGAATTTGCCCTGACCTTGACATAGACGGATATACCAGAGATGACATCGTGTTCTTCTGGCAAGGAGGAGACAACGCTGTGACGGGCGTCGACAAGTTAGAGTTACCTCAGTTCTCCATTATAGACGTCCGCTTGGTGTCCCGGGAGGTCTGGTTTACTACAGGTAAGGCTGTTGTAAAAAATGTTTCTAATTAGGCTGAATGTTTCCACTGCATACACAAAATGATGCTCTATGAACACCTCTGGATCTGTGTCGCCACTGTGAGTTCTGTGAGTGGGGGCATCAGTATATACGTCATTGTCACTGCGGGGAATATGATTATATTTGGGTCGTGCAGGAAGACAATTTCCTTTTCGCTGCAGCAGATTGTAGGTGGCCATTTCCACATATTTGTAAAATGTGCACTGATTGCAAAAAAACAAAGTGCAACTGAAGTACCAAATGTTGATTCATGATAACTACAGTAATTGTTCTCTTACATATTTCAGCATCAGAGTTCCTATTAGAATCAGAGCTTCAATTAATGTACAGGAAGTGTTGGTAATTATTGTATAACATGAGTTTGTGGTCCTTTCCTGAGTATTTCTCTTTTGTGCAGTTTACTATTTCTACTTCAGAGTGAGCTTTAGAGGTGCTGATGGCGGTGGTGTGGTGGTAAGAGGGTTGCCGGTTCGATCCCGGGTGTGGGAGCCCTTCTGTGCGGAGTTTGCATGTTCTCCCCGTGTCAGCGTGGGTTCTCTCCGGGCACTCCGGCTTCCTCCCACAGTCCAAAGACATGCAGATTGGGGACTAGGTTAATTGATAACTCTAAATTGTCCGTAGGTGTGAATGTGAGCGTGAATGGTTGTTTGTCAGCCCTGCGATAATCTGGCGACCTGTCCAGCTAGCCCTGGCCCATCCTGCCTGTAATACCACTTGTACCTAGTGAGTCACTGTAGCTTCCAGCCTGCCGATAGTCCAACATGAGAGGACAAAGAGGTCAAAAGCCCCGTTTCTACCAAACACTTTCGGTATGGTACCTTTGAAACCAAAAGTAACCCTTCAGACATCCATCCAGCACTCACTGTATTTCCTCCTTTATCAGTCTGCACCTTGTTTATCATCCACAGAACGAGGCTGACATTTAGTAATGGTCAAAGTTGTCATGCTGAAATTTAAGGTGTGCTGATGGATTCATGTCGTCAGCTTACACATTGAGTAACACTACAAGTAACCGTTCCACTTTAAAAGTCGCCAGCAGTCGGCCCAGTGAATTAAGTTATTTTTTCCTCAGGCTCCAGCTGCTGCAAGAGGCAGCAAAACATCCTTTAATTTTATAGTTACAGTTTACTAATAAAACTCTCCACTGTATGAACAGTGGTTACATGAGCCTCAAAATCAGCCACAACTCAGCCTTAAAAAAGAGAGTGACCAATCAACAGACTGCAGTGTTCACAGCTCCACCTTTTAGTACCAGATCTGTGTGCTAGGTACCCCAACAGAGTGGGGACTTAAAATGGGGATGATACGGAACGGTTCCATTGGTACCATCCACAACTTTACACAGTGGAAATGCAAAAAAGGCAAACCGAACTGAACTGTACCATATCGTACTGCTCGGTGGAAATAGGGCTCAAGTCACCAGGAACGGGTTGGTGAAAAACACCCGAGATCAATGCCTCAAACGCCACTGAGAAACTGAAAGTAACTGCAGACAGTGTGCATTGTCAGTCAAATGGTACTTTAAGTAATGGCCGTTTGATTTTGGTATACCAGGCTGTTGGAGAAATGAGCTTTCGGTCCAATGGGCCTTTTTTTGATTAATGAGGCTTCAGAGTTTTGAGCCATTGCAACAATGGCATTGCACAGTAATGGTGACTTGTTTACTTCCGGCACTTATCCGGATTCATGTCTAAGATAGCGGTGTTAGGCCCCGATCACACAAGAATCATTTTTGCAGGTTGCAAAACACGAGGCACGCCACACTGCCTTTTTTTTCTAATTAAATGCCACTGGTGAAAAAAAATGCTTGCTGTGCCTTTGTATTGGGGCCAGGCAACCACACCATCACCTCCTTACTCTAACCTTCCTATGTAATCAATTAACCGTTAGTCAGTAATTAGTATCTAGTTCCTAAAATGTTGAAGCAGAGGGTACTTGCTGTAGCTCTGGTTGAGGGTGAGAGGTTGTCAGCAAGTAGTTTGTTGGGCACAGGGAAACAGAGATCTGTGTGGGCACATGAGACCCTAAAAAAGGGGATGGATCATGGGGAGTACCACCAGTTGGTCCAGGAGCTTCTCCTCGATGACAGCTATTTATTTATAGGCACATTTTAGGATGACTCGGGAGCAGTTTGACAACCTACTGTCTATCGTCGGGCCATATAGCTCTGGGTATCCAGCAATTGCTATCAACAGTTTCTCCTCCATTGTTCACCAACTGTAAACTCGTTGTGAACGCCACAGGCCCGCCCCTCAAATCATCTGATTAGACAAAGATGACAAAGAAAGAGATGATGTGGGGCATTTTTCTGCTTTGAGTTGAAGTGTTTTCAGCTCGAGGAGTTCAGAGCACTCCAACAAAAACGCCAGGCACCCAGAGCACAGAAACACAAGGCGTGTCGCAATGCAAAAACCGCGAGCAAAAAGCTTCATTCTCATTAAAATCAATTACAAAAAGGCGCCTTCAGCTCCTTAAACACTTTCTGTGTGATCAGGGCCTTATTTGGACCGCAGTGTTTCAGTAGTTTAGTCAAACTTTGCATATTCTCACCCTGGCGTTAGTTAGTTGTTGGCTTTGAGGTGAAATGCTGCCCCCCTTTTAGTTTTGAGCATGTGGCCAGGTATAACACCTTTAATGAAACTTGTGAACATTTGTCGCCGCCATTAATCTACGATGTACTTGGGTGATCTGATCTAAGCTATTTGTCTCAGGCTTGATGAAGTATGTATGCTAAAGTATTGATTCATTAAAAGATTTACAGGAACCTGGGGATGATGAGGTCATTCATCATTGTGTGTTCCCCACATAGCAAATCGCCTTTTAGATTAAAACCATCGCGCTTATCTGAGGCCTTTTTTCTTTGGTGACATATTGGAAATAAAACTGTAGATAGAACACATAGATTAGAATTTAACTATATTTAGAGCAATTTGTATTGTTTCCAACCTCGTAAATATCTAGTTATAGCTGAAGCAGAGAGATCATGCCATGATGTATATATAGCAGTCTGCATCAGCATTGTATTGTTGTGGTTGTTTAAATTAAAATGCAGTCAAAAGACCAATTAATGTCTTGGCACAACCAGCTGATATTTCCCCACAAAATGTAAAATGGAATCAGTTACCGCCATGCAGCCACATATATATAAATATATTTACCTTCCTCTTTTTAGTGTAAAGGCATGTGTTGCAATTATGCACCTCTAAAATGCCCTTTTGGTAATGTTTAGAGGACAGAGAAAGTGCGAAAGAAAAGCAGAGCAGCTCTCTGTGACAATTCTCAGAGGGATGCTGGAGCTGCCTGCTGAGATAGGGGGTTGCAGAAAAATCTGCCGTGTTTGCGACTTTCTGCCATGTTTAATTGGAATCGAACTTGTCCCTGGAAAGGAATCCATCGCTTTGGGGAAATTAAGTGCTCCATCTGAACAAATGGAGAAATGACTACCCTGCGCGTTGTCAAAGTGCAGACTTTGGAACTCTTAAGTTGTGCCAACGTTTCTCTCCTTTTTTTTTTAACAGATGTGTTTCCACTCTGCCCCTGCTCTTTTCCAAACTATCACTCCATCTTCTCTCCTTACAGGTTCATATCCAAGGCTTTCGCTGAGTTTCAGGATTAAGAGGAACATTGGATATTTCATCCTGCAGACATATATGCCCTCCATCTTGATCACCATCCTCTCCTGGGTCTCCTTCTGGATCAATTATGATGCCTCTGCAGCTCGGGTGGCCCTGGGTAAGACACAGCCACCGCTGCATTATTAAACTTGCGACTGTCCCCTGTTGAAATCCAGTGATTATCACTGGCACTAACAGCATGTGGCGGTCACATGTGCAAAGTTGGTTGTGTACATTGTTTACATTTACAGGCATGTGAAACTATCAACTTTATTCATGTCAAGTAGCCATGACCAAAGCCACTGAGGGAAATGGTTTCAGCTTACAAAAATAGACAGGAGGTCTGCATCGCTGCGACATGTAGTTAAAGTTTAATATAAATATATAAATATATGGTGTGTCTAAATGTGAATGTGCAAATGTTTAAAGGGTACCTATTATGCTCATTTTCAGGTTCATACTTGTATTTTGGGTTTCTACCAGAACACGTTTACATGCTTTAATGTGCATAAAGCACTTTTAAACACTTTATTTTCCTCATATTGTCTGTGCAGGAAGGCGTGAATATACCCTCTGTCTGAGATGCTCAATTTTTTCGCCCGTCTTTTTCAGAGACAGGCTCCCAAAAAAGCCCAGTCTGCTCTGATTGGTCAGCTTTTCCAGGTCTTCCACATCTTGGCTTGTCTGCCATGTCACCACTGCTGGGGAATGACTGTAATGGGTCAATGTCATACTTTCTACTGTAGAGAACATCACCAATTAAAGCTTCCAAACCAAAATCTTCACATCCGGATATGTTCAAGAAAGAATATGATCCGAAATCAAGCAGATATTAACAACATCTGCAACCAAGATTACATTTTACCCTGACATTAGCATGTAGCTACATGTAGCAGCACACCTAGAGCCGGAGAATGACTGTATATAGCAGCACTTTCTCTTGCTAAAAAGCACCAGTAGAGGCTTCTAAACACAACCAGAAATGTTCCAGAAGGAATATGATCTGGAATCAAGGAGAAATTAACAACATCGGCGAACCTAGATTACATGTTTACATGACATTAGCATGTAGCTACATGTAGCAGTGCACTTAGACCCAGGGAATGGCTGTATATAGCAGCATATTCTCCCATTAAAAATCACCAATAAAAGCTTCTAAACATAACCAGAAAAGTTCCAGAAGGAATACAATCCAAAATCAAGGAGAAATTAGCAACATGGGCAGCCGTGATTACATTTTTCCCTGACATTAGCATGTGGCTACATGTAGCAGTGTAGGGAACATTGTGAAAACGCTTGCTGTAGCATGCCTGGAACAGATGAACATATAAAGAATCTTGTAGCCAGAATAGAAAAAAAAAAAACAACTAGTATTTGAGTATTTGAAAAGGTCCAAAGTCCAAGGTTCTTGCTCACTGGGATTGCTTTTAAATACCTCATTGTTTGAAAGTTTGGCAACCTTTAATTTGAACGTCTGACATTGCGACATCATATATCAAATAGAAAATAAGGAAAAGCATAAAAGGTCCCCTTTAAAGTGAAATATAATTTCTGTGTCTGACCATAAATTCTATGTTTCTGTGTGTGCTGCTGTACTCAGGTGTGACAACGGTGCTTACCATGACAACAATTAACACCCACCTTAGGGAGACTCTCCCAAAGATTCCGTATGTGAAAGCCATCGACGTCTACCTCATGGGCTGTTTTGTGTTTGTGTTCCTGGCCCTGCTCGAATATGCCTTTGTAAATTATGTGTTCTTTGGCCGGGGCCCTGCGCAACAGAAGAAAATCAATGAGAGGCTGAACAAAGCCAACAACGAGCGCACAAGATACGAAGAGAAGCGCCTGAGGGAACAGGTTTGCATCTTCATCTGCTGCCTCTCTTTTTACTCTCTGTGTCAGTCAGAGTTCAAGTACAAAACAGCTATGTTCTGCACACAAGATTTCTAGCCATAGTCATTTTATCCACAGACACATACTGTATGCAGTATTCCCTGAAGTAATCTTTCCAGAAGCATACTGATGCCACCACAGCCCAATATGTATTCACCAACCATCATCCATTGCTTCTACCTCAAGCACAGACTGCTTTTTATCGAGCATAGACCTTCTCATTGAGATAGCGATTCATCTAGCTCAAGAGTGGTGTAAACATTCTCATCTTATTTAGGTTGTTGTCTGTGTTTAAGCTGTAGGCTTCATTCATTCTCTGCTACCTTAACATCCATTTAAAATGGACAAAATATCAGAATGCCCATTGAGAAGGCATTGGTAATTTGATTTGGCGATGCTGAAATGGTCAGACTGAATGAAGCCCCCGCCCCCTGTTTTTTGTGTGAAGTACTAAATGCTATGCTTACTCAAACTTGTTTACTGTTAACTCTATGTCTTATGCATTGTGTAACTTTTGAGAAAATGTGCTTATTTGCCAAAATTTTATAGCCGTTTTAATGTTCTCTTCATTTTTCTTTCACATTGCAAGGACTCCATTTCCGTGCCGTTTCAAACCAACACCTTCAGGTCATTTACACAGCGAAGAAATCTGTATCTCGAGGAACAAAGAAAAGTTGGGGTACATTTATTTAGAAATCATATCAGTTGTAGGCCAGCCTTCACAGTAAAGTCAGATGATTAAGGCTGTTCAGATTACTTATATCACAGAAAAAAAGTGAATACTAATAGATGTATGTATAAAGAAACTCTTTGTTAACTATTTCTGTGGCATGCAAGAAATGACGTTCCATATCATCCCTGCATTTTGACAGCTTCGGGAAAGGGAGGGGGGTTAATATAAGTTTCATTATTGGGGGAATTTGGGGCTATTGCTCGACATTTCAGACCTCACTGACTCTGAGTGTCTTTCCCCTCTCCTCACAGGTGGATGCTTATGGAAACATCCTCCTCACCACGCTGGAGATGAACAACGAGGTGATGCCTTCTGACGTGGGTAGCAGCGTCAGTGACTCTCGGAATTCAGTCATGTCCTTCGACAGCTCCGGGGTCCAATTCAGGAAGCCCATGGCGCCCCGAGATGGCTTCAGCCACCACTCGCTGGACCGGAGCGCCATGCGGAGCCGGGCCAACTGTCGGCTACGACGACGCTCCTCCAAGCTCAAGTTGAAAATCCCAAACCTGTCAGATGTTAGCACCATTGACAAGTGGTCCCGGGTCATTTTCCCTATCACCTTTGGATTTTTCAACCTAATCTACTGGTTGTACTATGTGAATTGATGTGCATCCCACTAGGAATCATGGGCCATATTTTGAGAGCACATTAAATTGGCTTTGATACAGTTCCAAAATATGTATACACATATACAAGTTGAACATATGTATATGCATATTTCTATATATTATATTTATATATACACGTGTGAAACCTGAAGGACCTCTCTGCTGTACAAAGTATTAATAGGATGACTTGAATGTTTAAGAATAATTGTGAGAGAAGAATTTCAAGGCTTTGAGTTTCTTTTTCCTCCTGAAAGAAAGAAAGAAACAAACAAACACGAGATCCCACCCGGGGGTTTTTGGAACTAAAGACTGCATGATATTTTTGCTAAAAAAAAAAACACAAGGAAAAAAAGAGAAAGTGAAAGCTCTTGAGAGAGAAAAGATGTCTCAGAGTCCCATTGACTTTTTATTGACACTTATTGTAATCAGAAATCCTCTACTGCAGCTCATGAAATTAGTGGTGGCTCGTCTGTTCAGGCATCAGCTGAGTGAGATCCTTGACACCCCCCCTTCCCTCCCTCCACCAGCCCCACCGCCCTCACCCACCCCGCCCATGGATAACATGCACGGAAATCTCCGGTTCTACTATGTACAGCAACCTTGTTTGGATTATGTGTTGTTCCTTGGGTTTTTTGAAGTGATATCGTTCTCTTTATCAGACATCAGCTCTGGCCTAATGGGCTCCGCGTGGATGGTATGATTGACCGCCGCATTCCCGCCCAGAGTCAACACAAATTTGTGTTCCTTTCTCTTCTCATGTTATTTTTAGAAACACGTCCTTGGGGGAGGGGTGGGGGGTCTTTTTCATTATGGTTGAAAACAAGTGCTGATTATTGTAGATATGATTTTGTCTTGAAAAATACTGTGATTTCAGAGGGTGTCGGAACATGTTCTAGAGCTAGGGCATTATGAGATAAAAGAGTCAAAGGTATGCATTACTCATTTTGATTGTGTGAAAAAAAAAAACATATTCTATACATTTTATCATTCAGTATTCTCATGAAAGTATACTTGTACTGTTGATTTCCTCCTATTGATTGATTCCCATGCTCTTTAGATGCAGAGTTCATTGACGTCATATCCTGCTTTGTGTTCGCTGAAAGGAAATGGGAGGCTTTTGTGATTGAAATGATTCCACAGTGACAATGTGAGGACATATATATTCAAAAGAGTCAACATATCAGCCCGCAGTTTGACCAGTTGTCATTCAGTATACAGTATTTTTGTTTGTTTGTTGAGCATTTGTGTTGGAGTCGCAGTTTGTGAAGGCGAGATAATTTGATTGGGATTGTAAAGGGCAGCCCGGGCTGAAGACGTGAGGAGAAGGATTCAACATTTCACACTCAAACTCAATCAGTGCCATCACACAAACGCTCCGAACCCCGAGGATCCGAAACATCAGCCTAATCAGGAATGATGCACTGATTCTGGGGGAGAAAATGTGTGATAAATAGCCATGAATTGAGAACCAAAAGGCCTATAATCCATATGCATTATTGTTTTGTTTTGCTATCAAGCACACACACACACACACACACACACACACACACACTGCATTTCCAGTGCTCAGGTTCATTTGTAAATGGAAAAAACTACTTTAGGACCTTGATTTTGTTTTTAATTCAACTGGATAACAGTGATGTGCAGGGCATGAATGACTCTTTTTATTGACTCGGGAGTGACAAGTCCTCATCCCCGCTAACTCGTTCACTGACTCACCCCTACCTGCTACTAGCTAGTGTGCAAAGACGAGGCGAGACAACGTGTTACTCACACTATTGCGCAACTCTTATATTCACTGTATTTCTGGAAATGTCTCGAGTTAATTAACCTTGACCACTTTGGCGCTTGTTTCAACACAGTGTTCGCTCTGCCAGCCCAGAGCTGAAGGTCTGACTCGGGCTGCTTGAGCACTTGAACACTTTATACTCAGCTGTCATCTCCAGTTGAGCATCTCCGAAACAGCTTGAGTGCTTTTGAGCAAGACCCCAGGAGCAGCGCCAGGCTTTGAGGCCAATTTAACCAAGTGGTCAAACTATGTAATTACAACTTCCCAGTTCCACAGCAGAAACAAAATGTGTTGTTCTCACATACAATCATGGGAACAGGAGCGTCTTTTAAACAGTGGATAAATTATTTTTCTCTTTCAAGCAACCCTCGTGAAATGACTCGTTTTACTATCAGTTTGATCCATTTGGTCTGATACCATTTGAAAAGTCTAGAGGAGCCACATGATTAAGTTATTTTATCCCCATTCAAGTTAGGGGAGGGCTAAACCGGAATTTAAAGGCAGTGCACATGCCTTGTTTGCATTGTTGTTAGTGCAGACGCATAGAAGGCATGCTCAAAAGTGAGAGCAACACCCTTGTGGCACACAGCAATGAGCACTGCATCTCATTTGATGAGGGACAACCAAACACAGTTGATATCATAAATATCTGTCTATAGTAAATATGAATAAGTTATCCATTGAGTGCGGGGCTTTACGATCTGTCCCACAGATAATTTAACATATTCAAAACAAAGCCTGAAAGAAGATCAGCTTCGAACTCAGGATTCTAGTAAGAAGGCCGTGATACAGTGGTATTGATCACTTTGCAATGTAAGGCGCAACCTCTGAAAGCTGGCACAGAGTAAGCACAACAGCAGCATCCAGCACTCCACCTCGTTTTTTCCAGGAGGTAAAAGACGCAGAATGTGTCCGCAAAAGTCTCTGGTGCGTGAGCTCTATGGCAGTTGGAGCCGGTGGGGGTTTCATCTCTCTGTGGGTAACTGACTTGGTGATTCGAGTGAGTCAGTAAAAAGGGTCAAACCTCTAATCTCTGCTCGATAATCACGTGTTTATAGGTTGAATCCAAATCAGTCACCAAATAAAAGCCAAACAGACAATGAAGGGAAATTTAAAAATTACATATAACACATCCTCCCGTGCCTGTTTGGCTTCAGCTGAAGTGCAGATCGGCATCTTCTTTGTGTCATCTTCACTTCAGGCACGAACAGGCTCCACTGGGAGCAACAGGCTCCTAGTAAAACCTGCACAGCCAAATCTACCAGAAAAGCAAAAAGAAAAAAGGTGATTGGCTGATTAGAATACACAGCGTGGTCCCTGAGAACTATACATATGGAAAAGAGATGGAAATTTTCATATACAGTACACAAGCACGTGGGGATAAGAGGAAGATGAAAGGGCTGCAGAGAAATCAATTTATCATCAGAAATATCCACTCCCCTCTGGAGCGCTGAGTGTAGTATGCTTAAGATGTCCTCAAAAAAGAAATACTGACCAAAAACCAATTTGTCTCCGCAAGTCAGAGAGAAGTTTGTACAGGCCCGAGCTGTGATCCCAGTTTCGTATTTCTTTTTGTTTAAATTTCATGCATCATTGTCATTTGTACTGTTGAAGCAAAAGGAAAAAAGAACGAAAAAAAAGATTCCCCTTTAAATATCCAGTAATCCCTGAAAATATACAGGAAGTATCTAAAATGGTGAGAGTAACAGGAAGATGTACTGAGCTGAGTGTTATGTTTCTGTCTGCAGTTGAACAATCTGTTGTTTGTCTCTCAGTCAACTGTGAGGTCGAAGGGATTACATGACCAAAACATAGTGATAAGTCTTTAATGGGAAGAAAGTAAATTTGTTGTTATTTATGACAAAGTTGGCAACGAGTCAACGGGTGCCACAATGAGCTAAATTAGCAGTTTCTATTGTGTTACATAGAGAATACATATTCAGTATTATACTGTAGTTGACAGGTGAGATTAAAGCCTGAGGAAGTGGCTTAATGTGCACAAATTTTTAAAGCTGCCAAATGGAAGTAAGATTGAAATGCAATGAACTTGAATTCAGTAGCATCAGTTGTTTCAACGTGGGTGTGTTATGCTAGTAGCGGCTAATGTAGCCTCGGGGCGCCAGCCTCAAGCAGGGCAGGCTGTTCTCTTTCACTGTTTGTACTTATACCTATGAAAAGTAATGCACTATAATTCGTATGTAACCCATGTAATCATGAGCCAGGAGGCTGTGATCATGTGACTTACACGCTGCAGGTTGTCCTCCCTCATTCGACAGAAGTAAAGAAGGAAGTAAGGTGAGGTAGATAAATAAAGAGCGAGAAGGTCTGCTTACAGAAGGTCGGGGTGGTGGATGGGTCAAACAAACACAGGACTTTCACCCAGACAAACCAATCTTCAGATTCAATGTTGGCATTGCACGTTTCTGCAAACCACGGATACGTTACATTTGCATGTTATTATGTAGCGGATACAATGATGTGTAGTTAGGTTTAGGCACAAACACTACTTGGTTACTGTTAGAAAAAGATCATGTTTTGTCTTAAAATACCCACTTTGGGGGCACAATCCCTCTTGTAAAGGCAGTAATGTCTTTGTAAAAAGCAATCACTTTTCATGGCACTGTTCCCGCTGGAAAAAACAGCCACAGGCACTAAAAAATCCCCCACATTTGGGGGCTGAAAGTCACGAGAAAAAGAGCCTAGCTTCCCTAAAATAAGAAAAAATGGGGTGCCCCAAAAGTTGATGGAAACCGCGATGACTTGCTAAAAAACGACCACTTTTGTTGTTTGTTGGTCTTGAACAGTAGTCTGCCACCCACCAACCCCTCCACCTCCAGATGACAAAGTCAGCCCATATACATGATTATGGGTGATACGTATGAAATGTATAAGTGTAACGTATTTGTGGTTTGCAGAAATGTACAATGCCAACATTTTCTTCTGCTAACTGGGCTGACCCAGGAGACTGGGGTCCATGTGAGTTACTTTAAGATATTTACAAACATAACATCACATCATAACGTTACCTCAAGTATTTAACATGACAACACTCAACCATGATTCTATTCCTACACCTAACTTAACTGGTAGGGGCGCTAATTTCCAAGATAGCAAAGAACCCCCACAGATTAATTTCATCTTCAAATTTATAATCTTCAGACCCAACTGAGGCCAACTCAAGTGACATCACTTAGGAGTATATATCAGACTTCACACATCTCCTTTCTGGAGCCACAAAAGGCTTTAAAATTATTTTCTTTTTTTTCACAAATGCAGTAGTTCTGCCCAAGATCTGTAAACAGACTTTGGTGTGCCAAATTGTTGGAGTTCCCCTTTAACTAACGACATCTCTGAGATATGCATGCTGCAATTTAAACAGTCTCATTCAAGATGCTGCAATGAAGTCATCATTACTAGATACGATTCTCTTTTTGCCAATTGGTGTTTGCAATAAAATAAAGAGCAGATCTTAATTGTTTTCCGCAGTATATATTACTTCAGGGTTGGCTCAAGGGGATATGATGTTAGCTGTGGAAAGAAGCGCCTGTGTCAGGAGTACCAGGCGCTTTTGAGGTTGCCGATGTGCACATTCACACTCATGTTTCAGGTAACCTTGTTCTTTAGAATGAAAATAAAGGAAGGTGGTAATAGTTAGTGAATGCAAGTTCATTCAAATAAAACCCTTTACAAAGTTTTTTTTTTTTTTTTCATTTATTTTGCATCATTTCATCCTGGTCTGCACACTAACAGCTTGTCAAACTGTTCAACGACAATATGATGGATCTTTACTAAGAGTTGATTCAGAGTGTGAGGCCAGAGGATACCATTTGTTCCGGTGCAAAACAAGCACTTATTGTTTGGAAAACTATGGAACAACCATAAGTGTTATTTAACTGAAACAATAGAATGTGTTTAACCAGAAAGAATCCATCTGCTCTGTGGTTTCAACTTGCACTTACATTTTGTAAGGCAGACTAACACGAGAATCAAATTCCCATTCAGGTTGGTTTATTTCCAGAAATGAATACAAACATGCCAATTCAGGTATTAACGTTTATGTTTTGAAACAGTTGATGCATATCTTTAATGAACTCCAAACGCATACTGAGGAGAAACATTAGCAGCCCTTGCATGCATGCAAAATATACTCACCCCTCATTTAACTCAGAACATGTATTACCTGCTTTCTGGACATGAAATCAGCACATTCATCCCAAAAGCTGTGAGGATCTTCTGTTCTGTGCTTTTCCTTTAGGATATTTGCTTATACGAGAGAAGACAGATTTCTTTTGACACATATGTTCAAGGAGCAGAGGAGGAGAAAAAAAAGTGTTGAACTGATTTCAATGTGAATTTTCTTGCCTCTAGTGTATATGTGTAATTACATGTGAATTGTACTGTAAATATGATATCTTTCACTTAATAGTTCTTAATGCATGAACAAAAACATGGCAGTTCGTAATACCAGCTAGCCTCACTGCTAATGGCATGGACAGCTTCTCTAGCATTGGCATACTTCTGCAAACGAAACCTAAAAAAAAAAAAAAAAAAAAGAAACACAAGAAATACATGGTGTGGACAAAATAATGGAGAAATCAATGCAAAGTCCTCTCACAGTGAAGGAGTTTCTGGTGGCTCTGAGCTTGTATTGGTTCACCTGCTCCCT